GTAATATCAAGACTATGATTGGCACCTCTATTCTCCAACACACAAAAATCAAGGACGTTATTATATTTATGTTAAAATGGTAGGACATGATATGCCCCTTTTCTGCAGACTCGAAAGGTCAAACAGTTCAATATAATTCTGGATAGGGTAGAGTTGAAGGAATGGATTATACTAGCTCTGTGGGACCCGAGGTTGAAATCAAGACAGTCTCTTGTTTGTTAATGGTTAATTAGGAGGTTTGTCTCAGAGCTGGGCCCTGTACCCTTTCCTGTTAGTAATCTTAGGATTGATTGGTGATGCCTAAGAAACACCTGTCATCTGCTCTGACTCATCCAAGTTAAGAGTGAATCTCAGAAGTCTCAGGTTTCTTCAGGAAGTTGAGTTCAGAAATCATTTATGAGATCATATTAAGGTGACTTTTCTCTACTGGAAGCATTAATAGTTGTCCTCACCAAAGCAAATATGCTGTAATTGTATATGTATGATAGGATTGTCTTCTCTTGGTGACGGGGCATTTAGGTAGTAAAGATATTTTATAGCTAGCTTTCTCCACTAAAATTTTGAAAAAAGTTTTAAGTGTACAGTAATATAAAATACACTAAAACAGATTAGGATTTCTTGGTCTGGGAGAAATCAAGGCTAAGAAGGAAAATGGTTAAGGTTCATGATCGTAAAGGGTATTGACATGCCCCGCACAGATATGTTCTCCAAATATTGGACTTCAAAATGACAGGAAGCTCTCTAAAAATTGTCCTGTCCTAAAGTAAGAGTTTACGGGCTGGGAACATAAATATAGAATGAAGGTCCACTAAAGGTAGAGGTTTTAACAGTGGGGAACATTGATTGGGTTCTTTCTGTGTGCTAAGTTCTTTACTATATTATCGCATTTAATCTTCATAACAGATTTAATGAGGAGGTCTTCCTGTTTATCCCCATTATACAGATTAGGAAACTTGAAGCTCACATCGGTTATATAATTTGTCTGAGGTCACACAGGCCAGAAATGGTGGAGCTGGGATTGATGGTGGTTCCTGCAAAGGGTATTAGGGAAGCCCTGGGGCGTTTGAAGACTATTACTTGTTTAAGATTGCTGTCCCACATAGGGAATATACTCAATAATATCGTAATGACTATTTATGGTGTCAAATGGGTACTAGACTTATTGGGGTGATCGCTTTGTAAGTTATTTGTCTAATCACTATGCTATATACCTGAAACCAATATAATATTGTATGTCAACTGTAATTGAAAAATAAGAAAAAAATAAAAAAAAGATTGCTGTCCCTTTTTAAATTACTTATACAAGATCTAGTGAACCCCATATGGCCGTTCTTGTGTTTTATTTTTCTTTAGTAACTCTTTCTCCTTAATTAGGTCATTATTATAGAATCTTAGAATGGTGACCTTGAAAGAGATTGGCTGGACCCAGCCTGTCCTCTGAGAGACACAGAAACACAGCGAGATCTTCTCCCCTATCTAGGGATAGTGAGAAGTTACTTTTGCTAATCTTGGATACCTTCAGGAATGACTTCCACTAAAAGCAAAACTATCCTTTAATAGACTGTTGTAGTATATATCCTGGCAGTCAGGAAGTTTATGTAAAAGCTAAAACTTCACTGATAGAACTTCTTTTACAGCCTGAGGGGAAGTTAGAGAATGACTACGACTTCACTGTAAAATTCCATTATTCACTCAAGCCACCTTGGAAAGTCCATTCAGTGGTTGTTTATTGAGCACCTACTGTGTGCCAGGCATCATGTTGAACTGTGCTGACTGTGATCTCAGAAATCTTCAGGAATAACGCTAGACAACCCAGCCACCCTGAATAATTTAGGGTCAGAGTTTTAATTAAATGAGTAAGAATGATGACTTGCACTCATTGTATATTATTTAATCTTTACACAATTCTCTGAGATAGTGTTATCACACCCATTTTGCAGATGAGGAAATTAAAGCTCACAGCAGGGCCTTGGTGATATGAGCTCCTAAAGAGAATAACTTTTAATATAGTACTTTACAATTATCCAAATGCTTTCACTTATCTAACTGTGTAAACAAAAATGATAGTGGTTATTGATTATATTCATTTCACAGATAGCAATAATTGCTTTGATTTATTATGTATTTAATATTGCCAAGAGGGCCAGATCACTTATCAGTGAGGCCTAGTTCATGGAATGCTCACAATGACCCTGATAAGTATCATTATTCCCATTTTACAGATGAGCCATTGAGGCCCCAGAAGTTTAAGTGACTTGGTTGGCACAGTGGGGAGCTGTGATTCGAGCCCAGCCGAGTACATGTGGCCAGTTTGCTGCCTTCAATTGACCATGCCACGCTGCCTCATTTTCGAAATGAGGAAACTAAGGTTCAGAGAGTTAGCAAACACACCTGAGGTCAGACAGCAGAGCTGGACTCCAGCTCAGACCCTCTCGTGAGAAAACTAGCCCACTTGTTTCCCCTGCCCTGAGCTCTCTATCTGCTCAGGCGATCTGAAAGACTGTATCATACATCCAAGTTAAGTTCCCTGATTCCTTTGTGATATGCTTAACTTTAATAATTTTTGTCCTTCTTTACATTTCTTTGTATTTTTTCCCCATTTTGGGACAGGGATCCCTCTATACTCCTGGTAGCAACATGATACAGAGGAGAAATGGACATACAGGTTAAATTACCTGCTCAGGAAGTCATCTGGTCAAGTTAGATCAGAACTCAAACCCAAATATGAGTCCCATGTTCCCCTCTCAGCTCTGTGGTTCCTGTCCTTTTGGTCTATTGAAAATGTTGCTTGAAAGAGGGCCTTTCCTTTATGAGATTGCTTCTGGTGCTGTAAGGAATGCACTTTTTTTTTTCCATCTGAAGATCATTTACTATTTCAATAGCGAACTACATTAATGGTTAAAGCAAGGAAGTCAGTATCAGATATGTAACAAGGACCACTCACTCAGATTTGAAATGCTGCCAATCTATACAATCTCAGCCTTGAACATTTTAAAGTACAAAAGTTCATTACTTTAATGATCAAGTATCCTTTATCTTTCTGAAGGAAAACTTTATGGGAACCATTGACAGTGCCATACTTTGATTCAAATGGCAAACTCAGGTGAATGCTCCTTCAAATTGAATTGGGTAGAATTTTTCTAGATATCTGTTGATACAGTAAACATCAGATAAATATCCAGATGTATTTAATTATTTTGACTCAAGCAAAGTATATCCTATTTAGACAGTCTTTAAATAAATTGTGTCTGAATTGAACAAATAAATAAGACTAGCTGAAACTAAGTGGCTTTGACTGTATAGGAAAATGGAGAGGTTCTAAAAGAGGAATCATCTCAGAAAAACCCATGTCTTATGATTCTCATTTTTAGAGCTAAACCTGAATTGACTGTTCAGAAACATCAATTGATGTTTTTGAAAATTAAGCTTTTCATATTCAGAGGCTGATAGGTGATGGAATACTTTTAAACCTATTACAAATGTGTTAACTCCAATTCAGATGTGTTTTAACCATGAAGTATCCCCATGTCGTCAAGAGGTTTTTTGGTTTTTTTTAAGAGAAGAATTAATATCTACTGAGTGCCTCCTATGCTAGCCCTCTCTTCGTAGTTTTCTCATGTAATTCTCACATCCCTGTGATTTCAATATTATTACTCCCCTACCCCCTTTTACACATGAGGAAACTGAGGCTCAGAGTCACTGACTAATTAACCTAAGATCACACAGCTAGCAAGTAGAAGTCTTAGAAATTGAACCTAATTCTGAACATTCCGAAGTCCATGGACATTCTAATACACAAAACAGTCTTATGAATGGCCTGGTATATTAGAATTTTTAAAATTAACCAAAATTTTTAAAATTAGCAAAAAAAAAAAAAAGCAAGAGCAATTTGCTTATGATTGTTTGATTAGCCCTCAAGGAAGAGCAAAACCATTTGAAATACATACTTTTTCGCCCTGGAAACATACAGCAAATTTACCTTTTTTCTTATTATTATTACATAGGCTGAGGCTTTTTTGATAAATCTGCTGGCCTTGATTTGAGTTGGTGCCTCCCAGAAAATCCTAGAGATGCATCTGGAGATACTGTTGATGCTTAGCGTTAACCTTAACAAGCTGGCTGCACATTCTTTTTATTATCACAGTGACTGTAGCTGACACCGGGTCACATTCCAAACATGTGGCATCTTTTAAACAGATTCCAATAGGATTAAAGATATTTCCCTGTTGTCCTGTTTTGGGCCATTTTCTTACTGTCTGGATGGTGATGAAACCTTTCAATTCTTCATGGTAGTTGACTTTGAAATTAAGTTTTGTCTTTTCTTAAAGGTTTTTTTTTTTGGAATAACTTTACCAGGAGAATAATATAACCAGCTCCCCTCTGTTCCATTCTTATGTGCTGTCCCCTCTGTCCTCACCCCTACCCTCATTCTCTTACCCTCTGTGCTAGAAAATGCCATCCCATTGACCTGCCTAGAAAGAAAATGAACCATGCTAAAATCATGGAATCATGCACTTAAAAAACCAAAAAGCAAGTCTGAAAGATATTATAGTAGTTGGATATACAGCAGTAAAAGGCACCCATCCACCTGTTCTTACACTATGTAAATTGTTCAAAAATTTGTTTAACTTAACAAAAAAAAAAAGGCTGTAATGCATGTTCATTGGAGTACTATTAGAAAATAAATACAGTGGAATTCAGCTTTGTATAGATAACGGAAGCAGATTGTTTTCTAAATGACTATTAGACTTTCCAAATAGAAATATTTATGTGAGAGAGAGACCGATAGTCCTACACTGATCCATTTTGTTACTTTCATGGAGACTTGGAGTCTAGAAATCAGTGTGTGCTGTACAGGCCCTGAGAGGGTGGGGTTGTAGGAAATAAATAGACCTTGTGTATTCTCCTTTTTTCCCACTGCTTTATCCTTTCTAAGTATGGGTTGCATGTTCTATGGCCATGGCAGCTGGTATACTAAAGATTTTTCTTCTTTTTCCCAGACCCCAGGCAGGCACAGTCTTCCCCACCGTGGTCCTATGACCAGTCTTACCCCTCCTACCTGAGCCAGATGACGTCCCCATCCATTCACTCTACCACCCCGCTGTCTTCCACACGGGGCACTGGGCTTCCTGCCATCACCGACGTGCCCAGGCGCATTTCAGGTAAAGACCACACTTTAACTAAAAACCCACTCCTGTGCAGGGGTGGGGTTGGGGTTGCAGGATGGGCCAAGTCTGTCTCATCTGTGCTCACAGTAGCTCTAGTAGAAGAAGCATGTGGGCAAGTGTTTGGACAACTGGTAGCCCGGGTCTTCCGAATTATGGGGTTATCAAATACTCTTAGCATTTTAAGTCTGACAATCCACCAGAGGTGGCATACTTTTCTTAACATGATATTTACTGCCACCCACTTTTAGTCTTGCTGAATTGTATCCCCATTGGTGGGCGCTGTCTCATAACTAGGGCCTTCTCCTGAGGGTCTTATGCCAGGCCTTCCTCTGCGTGTGTTCCTTTTCTTTCCTAACATCTGCCTGTAAACCAGAGTACAGAGTCATGGCATGGGCCTCCGTTTGTAAAGGCTTTTAAGTCCCAGGAGTCCAAGCTAACCAGTTTCAAGAGAGAGCACCGGCAAACATAAGATCCTTATCAGAAACTAGTTATTTGAAGTGCAGTGAGGCCTGGAAGAGCCTTACAAGGCAATGTGTGGCTTCTGAGCAGCCTTTCTATGAATCGTACAGCACACTGCTCTCGCCCTCAGTGTGGCAGCCTCCGTGGCCACACATCCACTATTCCAAAGGCACCACGAAAATCTGTGGCTTATGGCGGAAGGGCGTGTGTCAACACCCTGGCCACCTCTCTCTCTCGTGGAGAATTCCCAACAGAGAGCCAGAAAGTGTCCATGAAGACCTCAGACTGATAAGTCGAGCTAAAGGCTCTTGGCCCACTGTATGAGTCCTGTGAATAAGGAAAAGTACCTCTCTCAGCTCACCCCCAAAGTCCCTACGACAGCACCGCCCCTGCTCTCCCTCCCCCATAAATAAAGGAGGCACATGCCGTTGGACCCTATATTTGTCAGACACTCTTCTCAGCGTTCGGGCTCCTTTCACCTGTTTGACTCCTGGCCAGGTTAATGCCTTTCTTTCTTTCTCTTTGTGTTTCTGTCTCTGTCTCTCTCCCTCTCTCATTTCCTGCAAAGCTCGAAGCCGTTACTCACTCCGCTGAGTTGCATCACTGACAAGCTGACGCTCCGCCGGCAGGCTTGCAGGGTTTGATTAGCTCAGACTCCTTTATTTCTGTCAACTTGGGAGGAGGGAAGGCTTTGTTTCTCCAGCAAATAGCAGGAAGGGGCTCTCTGGTCCTAGTGCCCTCACATTTCCTGCAGCAGATGGACTCCTGTAGGGGTGAGTAGGGAAAGAAGAGGGTGGTGGGAGAACCACAAGAGCCTCTGGGAAACCATGTTACCACTGTCCAATATGACTGCTCTTTTCATGAATCACATGCTATTTATTGGGGGAATTGTGCAGAGTATAGAATTTTAGTTATCCTTCCCCTTGGCTGGAATTCCTATTTCCTTTAGGCAACTATCAATTAAAGACACAGGAAAGGGGTGCGCAGGGGGATAATAGGGGCCGATGTGGAATCAAAGACACAGTGTTGGATGGTGTTGAGTGAGTTCTGGTCATCCCTTCTGTATTTTATACTGAGGCTGTTTTGTTTTACGTAGGGCCAACCTGACACCATGTCAGGACAGACGTGTGCCAGCCTGCTTCTGTTTAGGGTCCTCTGGGGCTTCCATCTGTCCAACCTTCTGTGGCTGAAGCAGATTTTGCTGTTTGTCCTCTGGCAGGACCTAGAGGAAGAAAACCTCAGGGAGTGATGGTAGCTTTAGAGACACTTATCTACAGCACTTTTCTTCCTGAGGTATATTCATGTATGAATTGAATGGGAAAGCCTTGAAAATAACACGGAAAAAATGCTGCATAAATGGCAGTCATTATTGTTTATTGTTTACATGTTTCAGTGTATTTACTAATCATTACATAAAATAGTTCCATAAACAGAGGAGGCAGCAGGAGCAAAAACTGGTTAATGATCCAGCCGTATATTGATCTGAGGCCAAAGGTAGGAACCAGCCTCTGCTTTAAACTAGTTTAAAGCTGAGTTTAGTCCAGTTTTTTCCTCCTGCCCCAAACATTTCTATGAGTTGTTACTGGCAAAGGAACACGGTACCAGGGTGGGAGGTTCTGTATAAACATTAAAGTGAGGAGAACAGAAAATCCCTTTTGTCAGCCTGTAGGGAAGCAGGAAGAAAGAACTAGATGGGGACTGCCAGGGAACTGGAGGAACCCTGATTTACCTGACCTTGCTCTGGGGTGTGGGGCTGTGCCCACACCCCAGAGTGCTGCCTGATGGACTCAGGGACCAAGTTAGCTGGAGTGAGCACCATTTCCTCTTTCCTGGGGACCAGTCCTAGGAAGCTTCTTGGAGTGGAGCCTGTCTCATAGGTTGTGAGGTGCCAAGTTGGATAGTTTCTGTCTTGTTATTATTCCCCTCACTATCTGTAGCTGTCCCTAAGGTCCAGGTTGATAGTTCTCTGTAACATGGACAGCTAAAAACATTAACCTTCATCTCCATCTCCAAGCAGTCCTATGTTTACTTTTTTTGGTGCCTTCCAGAACAGTTCATGTGTTTGTGCAATCAGTTCTCATCTCCCTATATGAAAGGACATACAAAATATTCTCATATAATCGAGGGTGAGAAAGAATACAATTTCTTACTTGTACCTGCTAGGATTGGAGGTTCAGACCCAAGTTTGAATCCCAGCTCATACACATATCAGGCAAGTTTCTTACTGCTCTGAAACTTAAGTTTTATTTTTTGTAAAATAAGGATGTAATAGTTCTCTCTTAGGGTTACTATGAGGATTAAATGAGATGCTTGATTGACACACGTTATGTGCAAAGCAGATTGTAGCTGATTTATGAAGCTAAAACTTCTATAAAAATTGTATATCTGTATGTTATCTGCAGGCCAACACTGGCTTACATGAATCAAGTAGATAAAAATCTAAACAATCAAGGGGTATTATTTTCTTTATAAATGGATCACCACAGAGCAAATTTAAAATAAAAACTCTGGAAACATTTAAATGAGTTAATATTCATATGCACTCATAAAGCACTTAATGTGGTGCCTAGCACACAGTAATAGTCAATCAATGTTTGCCATTATTATCATTATTATTCTATAGATTTGTAATGAATATTTTTAGAGCTAAAAGCAATTGGGAGCCATTCACATAAAGTAAAGAAAGCACTAAAAGAAAATAACTATTCAATTATAATGTTGGAAAATAGGGAATGTTGAGATACACTTAACATATAACTAGGCATGATAATGTTTTTTTCCAAGTGATCATAGGATCACTTGGAAACCACTATGATCTTATGATCATAGGATCATAAAAGCAACCAGAAAGATCTTTCAGAAAGAAATGTTCACCAAGAAATTCCATTTCTTCCTAAAAGACCATGTCAGGGGCCATGATTAATCATTTAAAGACCTTTAGAGAATCCAGTTTTACAACTTCCTTGGTATCCTTTCTTCTGAGTAATTTTTCAAGTGTGGCTGTAAATGCTAAAACCTAATGAATTACAATAGTGACAATGCTCTGATACTGTGTAATTCCTATAGTCTTCCTCGAATCCTTATGGAAGCAAGGTGAAAGTAAAATCATACACTAAAGGTATCTTACCCACAATCCACACTTTACTTCAGAGAAAGATACAAAACCAGATGTCTTGACGTTCATAGCTGAAATACAAAGATTCAGAAAATATTTCCTTAGCCTTGAGTTGCCTTAATATTATAATAGGAACAATAGCTGCAGTTACACGTTTATGACTGATCAATAAATTATTGTCATGCGATTGACTAATAGGGCCTCTATTATTATATAATGGGTTTAGTTTGTATTCAGCTGAATTGTAAAAATCAAACAGTACTTTTAGAAACCAGTCTGGAGCCATGACAGTGCAGAAGAACCCTTTTAGGGGTTGTTGCCTCTTCTCTACCACACTTACTATGATAAGTGTGGCCTTAGTCCATAATCACCTGTATTTAAGCAGTACCCCCCACCCCTAGTGATTTTATACATTATCTCAGGTCATATGACCCTAAAAGAATGTTCCCTGTACAGAGATAGCCAAAGTTATTTCTCAATGATTCTGTTGAAGAGCACGGTGAGGCAAGGTGAGGATCAGTAAATCGGACAACGACCTAAACCACTGCATATCTTTATCATCATAATAACGTTATCACCCATTGCACTTTTGATGTTCAAAGCACTTGCGAGGCTTGACACAAAGATTATAATTACTTTTCTGGAGGTCATTACAAAATACTATGTAAATGAATAATGATTGACTTTCAAAGTATCTTTGCGTAATTATCCTACTCTGAAAAGAAGCACAACTGTTTATTGGGCCTGATTCTCAGTCTTATGGGTCAGATTATGAGCTGCTGTTAGGCCACCAAAAGGAGAGCCTGCCTAGGTTTGTTCACCGCCAGTAACTCCTTGCCTGTGTCACCCGTCAGAGGGAAGTAGCTCAGATTAACCTAAGTGTGTACCACTCTTTGGCACCCATGAACTGGAATGGATTTCCACAGGCCTTTTTTTGTGGTCTTGGTTACTGTGCCCGGGGCCCTCTCTGATTGCTTTCTGGAGGACTCTTAGAGACGTAGGAGACATGAATTAGAGATGCAGGAGAAAGGTCAGACATGTTGTCTGCCTCACTTACTCCGGGAGAGGCCAGTACACACATGGATGATTTTTCACTGCATTTGTAGGATTCTTTTTCTTTTTCTTTCTTTTTTTTTTTTTTTTACGTGAGACAGAGTTAAGAACTGGAATCTTATCGAAGGTTTTTTTTTTTTCCTGTTTAAGCAGATAGTCTTGAATTACTTTTTTCAAAACATTTAAATATCAAAAAATTCCACTTAATCAGCTACACAGGACTATTAAAGATGTCTCCATTTTGATGACTCTTACTCGCCAAACTATAATATTTCCAAAGGTTAGCAGAGTAGGCGTTAGCCTAATAAATAAAGTTACTAAAAAGTATTTTATTACGACCACAAAATCTAGAAATTGCCAGTGGAAA